TAGTTGGTTACCTTACTAATAAGGACCGGCGAATATTCGTTAAAATTCGGTTACGAAGTTAACTGCTTCGACTTCGGTACCGAAGTTGAAATAGAAATTCGTCTTTCAGTTAAATTCGGGCTTTATATACGGCTTAAATTCGTCTTTCAGTTAAATACGTTAAATGCATATGATCTAAACTCGTCTTTCATTTAAAATCGAGTCTTAAAAAGTCGACTTTACCGGTCCTTAGATACTAACATAACCTAATAGGGAGGGGAGTCATGCAACGTGCCAGAATTCACTATTGCTGGACTAAACTCGTCATATAAAGAGATTTACGGACCATTTCAATGATTTGCAAAACAAGCAATTCCATTTTGCGAATTGCACAAAAACTTATAGTGAAAGTATTCCCTTGAGAGAATTCCGCACTAGGAATTCTCGCTTAAAAGCCAGTGCGCTGAATTTAATTTGAGTTGAAGTTTTGACGCGAAACTATACAGAGTTTTATATTTAAACTAGTTGCGATAATGTAATATGAAAATATTAAAATAAATATTAAATAAAAACCTTAGTCGAATTCTCTTCATAATAAATATAAAGACAAAACATTCACAAACTAGCAAATAAAATTCCTAATACCCAAGTTGTGTTCAATAACTTTTTAACACCGATGGATGATTGCATTTGCTCAAATAATTTATCTTCTGAGCTATCATTTGAGGAGTTTCAAGTGTCGTTTAAATCTATTTAAAAAAAAGGCCCTGGAACTGATGAAATAAATGAAAACATAGTCTTAGAATGCTTTGAACAATTAAAAGATATTCTCTTTAAAGTTTTCAGAGCGTCAATAAAACAAGGAGTTTTTCCTGATAAGTTAAAAATAGCTAAGATAATCCCAATATACAAAGAAGGAGACAGAACTAATATATGTAACTTTCGACCTATTTCTATTTTATCAACAATTTCAAAAATCTTAGAAAAAATTATTTACAATAGTTCATATACTTATTTTAAGAAGAAGAATTTTTTTTATAAAAATCAATTTGGTTTTAAAAAAAATAGTTTTGCTGAGCATGCAATCATCCAATTCGTCCGTGAAATCTATTTTACCGTCAACTCTTTCAAAAATTCACAATTCTACCGTTCAAAAATTCACAATTTTACCAAAAATTCACAATTCTACCACAAAAATTCACATTCTACCGTGAACTCTTTCAAAAATTCACAATTCACTTTAGGTTTTTTTTTGGATTTATCAAAAGCATTTGATACAGTAAATCATGGCATTTTGATTCATAAATTTGAATATTATGGAGTGGATGGTGTAATTTTGAAATGGTTTAAAAGTTATTTAACAAACCGAAAACAATTTATTTCTTTTAACAATCCTTGTCAAAAAAAATGTTATAGATGTTTCATATGGTGTTCCGCAAGGATCAATTTTGGAGCCACTTCTTTTTTAATATACATTAATGATTTGCATAGAGCTTCTAATCTTCTAATCTATTATATTTGCAACAGTGGCGCCGATTGCATTTTTTTCTCTTTTAGATTAGGTAACTACCAGACATGGAGCAAGCTCTAAACATTTATATGTTTATACTTATGTCAAATAAGAATGCTTTGCAAAAAATTACAATGATTGGAGCTTGGGAACAAAGAAACTCTAAAATTTTGCTCAAACAAAAACCACAATTGTAAAATCACAATAAGATTAACGATTTTAAAACAGATATAACGCTGGCAATTAAAACAATATTGAAGTTCACTTCCGTTTCTTCGCGGCTGTTGAATAACATGTGCTTTTGAAGCTTTTTTAGGATATTTTATTTAATTTTGCATAAGTAATTTCCGCATAATTACGTATAATTTTTAAGTGGACTTTGATCGCCTTTCGAGTAATACTTTCGTTCGATAACTTGAAAACATAAATACATTTTTTTCTACGTAAAATTTGCATCTACATTAAAAACATTTTGCGCAATGCATTTTTGTACCTTCGCTGGCGAGCCATTAATGATACGCTTATGGTCCGACAATAGCTAGCCAGTTCTGGTTCGCCAGCTAAGGCAGTTAACTGGATCACACATGTTTTTGCCGGACCTGGCTCGCGAGCTCAGGCCCAATAATGTACTGCTGATTGGGAATAGGCAACCCGACGCTGGCACAGCACTGGCGGGCCAGGCCTGGTACAGCTCGGCAGCCAAGCCTGGTTTGCTGTTGGGCCAAATAGTATCTGTTTACTGGGATCGCGCCGGTCCTGATAATAATAATAACAATAATATTAATAGTAATAATAATAATATATTATAATAATATAAGATAAAAAAATTAATACAAACTATAGTAATAGTAATAATAAGTATGTTTACAATAATTGCAATGAAAAAATAATGATATTAACTAATATTATAATGGTAGTTATAAGCATAAAATTATTTATAATAATAAGTTAATGATTTATTAGGATGGTGTCACTCACACAGAAATCTGATCAAAGGAGTGACACCAATTTTTAAATATAATATAAGTAATAATAAGCAGACGCACGCTGAAACACATGGACCGTAAACACACAGACCAAAGCACATAAAACATGCATCAAAACAAACATGTAGAAATCATAATTTGCAGGATTTAATAATGAAAAAAAGAAAAAGTAAACAAAAAATACTGATGATAATTGTAGTAATGACGAAAAGAAAATTAAAATAATTTTTTAATTAAAAGAATTTTTCTAAATTGATATTGCTTAAAATGGGTTAAAGGTATATATTTTTGGACTCTTTCAAAATGAATGCAAAGCTCCTGTTCCTTTTACAAACGCACTGATAAACAATAGAATTTTTACCATTTTTTTGGGTTTTAAAAGATGGTACATTTATTTTTCCATTGTGTATATTTTTAGTAGAGTAGGAATGTAATAGTCTACTTTCTGTGAACAAGCTTGTGATAGGATATGGTAAGTTTTTATTTAAGGAGTCAAAAACAAGAAGAAGATTAGCATACTTTATTAGTGCTGGAAATGTTGAAATGAAAATTTTTTTAAAGGACTTTGATGTATCTGATTTAATTTGTTGGAAGTTTATCATTCTAATAAATTGACGCTGAGATATTAGCAACTTGTTAATGCGATAGTTTTTAACTTTACCTCAAACTTGGCAACAATAGCTAAGATGAGATGAGAATAATGCATAGTAAATATTCTTAAGTGTAACTTTATTTACATAATGACGAATTATTCATCCCGTTAGCTCGAGATAGTTTCTTGCTTAGTTAATCAATATAAAAGTTACATGAAAGATTGCAATTAATTAATTTGTTCAATTAATTTGTTAAAACTCGAACTGTTGTGCGATACGAGTTCAAATCCTGTCACCACCACTCAACGCTCGAGTAGTACTTCAGTACGCAAAAATGATTAGTCTTTATTACTATTTGTGGCTGTTCCTGTTTTGTGCTTGTACTAAACCAACAATATTTTGGTTATAAGAGCATTGTATAGCAAAATGTATTATGAAATTCAAATAAATAAATAAATGTCGAACGTGTGCATGCTAGTATTGAAAAAAAACACTCATGCAACACATAATATAATTGAGGTCTTGATCTCGAATATTTATTCAAAATTAATGAAGTTCACAATGCTCTTAAAAAAGAAAACTAGCATGACGTTGGAACGAACAACGAGCTAAATGGTCAAAATCACAAAAATAGAGTTGAGGTATGTAAGGAAAATTTAGCCCTATTCAAAAACGGCCCATGGAGACTATGTAGTTTTTTTTTTTATTTACGATAACGATTTATAACGATAACGATTTACCTTATATAACTCAAACCGTCATATATTATCTTAGCCTAGCTGGATTCACAGTAACTTGCCACCAGTTGTACTCGCCAGACCTACCTTCATCCAATTATTGGCTATTTGACATAAAATGTTGATAGTTACACTGAAGTCAAAAGTCGAAATAAACACATAATCAAGCTTTTTCAAAGTACCCAAAGAATAGCTTAAAAAACGTTTCACAAATGGCTTGAAAAGGTACAACTATGTATCAATAATTATAGGCATTATTTTGAAAATTTATTAAAATAAAACTATAAAAATTTTTTTCATAGGGGATTCTACACTTTTCTAACAGCCCTAAGTAATTTTAAAACATTTTACTCATTTCAATTTTAAAACAATGTACTCTTTTTAATTTTAAAACAATTTTATAAACTCACAAAAATCAGTTTTTTAACAAAGTAAAAACCATTAAACAAATAATGGTGTTTAATAAAATGATATTAAAAAAATGATTTATAATAAAATGGAAATTTATTTCGAAAATTAAAAATGTTGATATAACTTATTCTAATTTTCTTTAGAAACTTTCAAGTCACTGCAATATAGCATTTCCAATAACAGCTAAGTCATCAAAAACAATTTGCATAATGTATCGAGTTAAGTCTCAAATTTATATATTTTGGGTAATTTAATGTTATGCATTTATATCATGGACAACAGTGACAGATCTAGAATTTTCGGTGGGAGGAGGAGGGGGGGATGTTGATATCAACACTAAAAAAAAAAATGCTCCTTAAATTTCATGGAAAAATTCATAGGCTACAAAAAAATGCTTCCCGAATCAATTACTCTAAACATAAACGAGAACATGCAAACAAAGACGTCCCGAGGGGAGGCTTAGGGGGTGTCTTGCCCTCCTACAAAATTAATTAGTCGGCAAATAAACATTGGAGTCAGCAAAATTGTAACTGTAATAGGCAGTCGGCAAATATTAGCCAACGAGGAGTTTTTTTTATTATTTAGATTTTAGTCGGCAAAAAAGATTATCTAGGTCTTAATTGGCAAATAAAGACACTTCACCTGCCCCCCCCCCCATCCTGTAAGATCTTTTCGGGACAATCCTGCATACAAAAGCTTTTATAAAAGATATGAAAATGATGTATTTGAAATAAATATCTATCAGCATCTAATTTTCATGTATAGATACTTCAACAATCTCTTG